TTGGGGTTGCTGTAGGTGATCCAGAAGTCTGTTTTTGAGACTTGTTTACGTGTCTTCTCATTTCCACGGGGGTGTGTGGGGTGTGTGTGCTTCTGGTGCCCATGTGGCTCAACTTCTCTGCCCTAGGAGCTTGGGATGGCAGTGGGGGAGCTTCCTTCCGGGTGCTGGGACCAGCTGAGCTTCTCTGCCCTAGGAGCTTGGGATGGCAGTGGGGGAGCTTCCTTCTGGGTGCTGGGACTGGCTCACCTTCTCTCAGTTGTTGTCATTTTTTATAATACTCTTTATAAGGTTCAGGAATTTCCTCTGTATGGAGAGTTTCTAAAATCATGAATGCATGTTGAATTTGTCCAATGACTTTCTGCACTGACTGATACATTAACTTTTCTTCTTTACCTTGGTGGTGGGGTAGATTCCGTTGATTTCAAGTATTAACCCAGTCTTTTTTTTTTTTTTAAATTAACCCAGTTTTGCACACCTGAAATGAACCCCATCGTCTCAGAGTATATTATCTCTTTTTACATTTTGTTGGATTCAATTTGCTAAATTTTTTTGAGGATTTTTGTGTTTAAGTGTGTGAGAGATATTAGTCTTCTAGTTTTCTTTCTTTTTAAATTATGGTATCAGAGTAATAGTTGCCTCATGGAGTGAGCTGGAAGTGCCTTCCTCTTCAATTTTCTGGAAGATATTGTGTAAAGTCTCTGAATATTTGGCAAAGTTCTCCAGTGAAGCCATCTTGCCTTGCAATACCTTTTTGGGGGGCTTTTGAATTATAGATCCAGTTTCTTTAATAGTTATAATGTAATAGGCAGTTAGAGACTGCTTTTCTGAAAGTACTGGCTCTTCACTTGGACTTGCAGGTGATGCTCAGTATGTCACTAAAAGCAGGATGAAAGCTTGGCATCTTTGCCTTCATTTTGTGTCTCTCTCTTTTCAACCTTAAACTTTGGGTCAGATTCCTGCTCAGTCATGTTAATCTCTTTTGGTACCGGGGATTGAACTCGGGACCTTGCGCTTGCAAGGCAGGTGCCGGAACCACTCAGCTAAATCCCCAGCCTGTCATGTTAATCTTTATAGAGTGTTTTGTCTAAAGCTGCCAATCCTCCCCCTTCACGGATGAAAGCACCAAGGTGAGAGTAACTGAGGTATTTTCAAGATTTTCAGGCACACCATAATCAACTGATCATCAACCACACTGAAAGTGAAACAGCATCTTGTTTCAGAGCCCTGGGATGGACCCCAAAGTCTTAGTGATTGCCCTAAACTGGAAAGAACAAACTCTAGCTTGCCTTTCTGACATGTCCTTTTCTCTGAGTTATGCTCTCCTGCAGTCACTTTGGATTCTAGGACCAAGTTTGATGGATGAACATCTTGTGATAGTCAAAACTACCCTCCCCTTGACAATGGCCTCTTTTCTTTTCCTTTCTTACCCTCCTTCCCTCCCTCTTTCCTTTCTTTTCTTCTGCCCTCTTTTCCCTATCCCTCCTCACTCAGAGCCTTAGCACTGAGTTACATTGTCAGATTTAAATTTTGTTTTTCTTTTTGAGACAAGGAGGGCCTTGCCAAATTGCCTGGGCTGGGCTTGAACTTGTGATCCTTGCTCTTCAGCCTCCCAGAGCGCTGGGATTGCAGACACGTGCCATCACATTAAGCTGGCAGCAACTTTCTTCATTCTTTCTTTGTCTTTTTTTCAAGGCCAGTATAGTTCAGGCTGTCCTTGAACTCACTTTGTAGCCCAGGCTGACCTCGAATTCAAGGCGATCCTTCTGTCTCAGCCTCTCAAGTTCTGGGATTACAGGCATGCATCACTACCTCCAGCATGATAGCAAATTTCTTATTGCTGCCAGACAAGCTCCAGATGGATGATCTTGAGCAAGTGATCAACCAGGCCAGACTCTGACCAAGACTGCATGACTGGGCCCTTCCCTGTATAATCTGGGAGCTCTTGTTGACTCCAGGAAGACAGAGCTGAAGGTGTTTTGTTTCCTGTCTTCCCAATATGGCTATGCTGAATACATTCCTTTAATTTTCACCAGTGTCTT